TAAGAGAATTCATACTGGAGAGAAACCCCACCAATGTGAAGAATGTGGCAAAGACTTTACACACTACTCACGCCTCACTAGACATAAGAGAATTCATACTGGAGAGAAACCCCTCAAGTGTGAAGAATGTGGCAAAGCCTTTGCCTGGTCCTCAAACTTTAATATGCATAAGAGAATTCATAGTGGAGGAAAACCCTACCAGTGTGAAGAATGTGGGGAAGCCTTTCCCTGGTACTCTCACCTTACTAAACATAAGAGAATTCATATTGGAGAGAAACCCTACCAATGTAAAGAATGTGGCAAGGCCTTTGCCTGGTCCTCAAACTTTAATAGGCGTAAGAGAAATCATACTGGAGGAAAACCCTACCAATGTGAAGAATGCGGCGAAGACTTTACACAGTACTCACGCCTCACTAGACATAAGAGAATTCATACTGGAGAGAAACCCTACCAATGCGAAGAACGTGGCAAAGCCTTTGCCTGGTGCTCAAACCTTAACATACATAAGAGAATTCATACTTTAGAGAAACCCTACAAATGTTAAGAATGTAGCCAAGCCTTTGCCCAGTGCTCACACCTTAGTACCCATAAGACAGTTCACATAAGAGAAAATCTACAAAGGTGAAGAATGTAGTAGACTCTTTAGATATTGCTTAAGCCTTTCTTATCATAATTCATATAGTAGAGAAGGCCTTCAAATGTGCAGAATGTGAGAAATCCTTTAAGTTATGCTAATGTCTCTAATCATAAGATAATACGTACTGAAGAAAAACGTTATGAAAGTGAAAAATGTGGCAAAACCATTAACTAGCGCTCAAATATTTATAAACATAAGAAAATTCATACCAGAGAGAAACCATACAGACGTTAAGAATGCAACAAAGCCTTTACCTGGTCCACTTCCCATACTATAGATTAGAGAATTCATACCTGAGAAAAATCCTACCAAGGTAAGAAAAGGGAGAAAGCCTGCTCACATATTACCTGCCATCAGAGAGTCATTGTGGGTAATGGTGATATAACTGTAACAACTTTGAAAATACCTTTCAGAAAATAAAAGTCTTAGAGTGTACCATAGTATTTATACAGAGAAAAAAATATAACTATAAAGAATGGTACAACACCTTTATTTCTATCACAGATCTTGTGCCCAGGAAAATTTATACTGAAATGAAACCCTACATCAACTGCTCGAACTTTAAGTTCAGAGAATTTGGATTTGAGAGAAACTCTACAAATGTAATGAATGCAAAAAAAGATTTGTTCATGAAACACAGCTTGTAAAACAGAACTTGTACTTTACAGATGCCATATTGTGAAAAAAGTTAATAAAAAAATCAAGTGTAAAGATCTGAGGATTCACAGTAGAAAGCACTAAGGCACTAATATTTTCAGACGTTACCCTAAAGCAGTGTGTAGATTATATAGAATGATTTAACATTAAAATTGTTAGATAACTTAAGTATATGTAAGCTTAAAAGGAGCATAAAATTGATTTTTGTCTCACAGAACTTGGACAAGTTACTAACTCTCCATGCTTCAGTTTCTTTATCTGTAAAATGGATTAATTATGGTTCCCTTCCCATAGGTATTGAGGTGTTAAATACAATAAATGCTAGCTCTTGTGCTCCATGTTGTGTTTTGTTCTATAGACTGTGAAGTAGACAGATGGTGGCTTATGTTAGGGAAAGGAGAAAGATTAGGTTCAAGCCAAAGACATTTACAAGGTGAAGAGTGAGAGGTAAAGATCAGAGATGGTGGTGGGATGCAAGAAGGAGTGTCAAGGGCCTTCCATTTTAACTCTGGCCTCATGCCTATCTATAAATATGAAAGATGAACTGACCAGATGATCTCATTGGTTGTTCCTTCCAACTATGACATTGTCAAAATAGAGGGGAGAATGGAAATGTCATCCAAAGCCAAGCACAAATGTCCACATTTGATCCAATCTTACACATAAAGACCCAGAACTATGTCAGTTAAGGGACATCAATTATTAGTGGTAGGATTGTGAGTTAATTTAGTTTCTTTATTGATTTTTTTCTCTTTTCTAGTTTTCTGTAATAAGTTTGTCAATCAGAACAAAACAATTTACAAATATATCAATTTCTTCATATTTATATCCACACATTTAGGATTATAGAGAAAGAAAAAAAGAAGGGAAAAAGGAAGGAAGGAAAGAGAAAAGACACCCCAAACTGAGCAACATTCTCAGAATAAGAAACCAGAAATCATCTAGGCAGGAAAAACACTGTTCTTGATGCTCAAGGCCTAAGCCAGAAGAGCCTTTTGAGATGGCACAGAGCTATCATAGATGTCAAATAATTCTGGGACATTTTCTAGTTTTATTGTGTTTTTCATCCCTTCCTTCAGTTACCTACAGTTTTTCTCTTTTTTAGCTAGAGCTAATTTAATCTTCCTTTTAATATTGCATCTTGTTAATAAAAGCCTGGACAAAAGAATGGGAATAAAGGATTTTCTTCTCGCATTTTCTTAATTTCAAAAAGTAGCCTGTATTGAATAATCATGTGATCTGAAATTTGGTATACAAAGAAAGCATTTATTAGCATTCTGAACAGGAATCCTTGTTTCAAGAGTCTAAGTACTGCAATTATTTGGCAGTGCAGCTCCATTTCTGTGATTGGTCTTTATAGAATTAGTTGTAAAAAAGGCTCAAAGATACAAGAAGGTTCACCCAGAACTGTTCGTAATGTTTAGAAATTGGAACAAATGAAAAAAGATATTTGGAATAAAGCATTATAAATCATCCATATTAATTTATTCTTAATGATCATTTAAAATCTAAATACATCTGCAGTTACAGAACAAGTTGCATAGTATGATCCAACATGTATTTAAACAACAATATATGTGTATCTGTGTACATGTCTCTAAAAATAGTTCTTCAGGAATAAAGAAAACATTTATGTTTGTATTATATATATTAGCTTTTCTCCTTTAACAATTAGCAGATATGTTCAAATTTTTAAAAGGGAGGCCCATGGTCTTGATCTTTAAACTACATTGCCTTGTGTGGGGACAAAAGTGACTTTATTTTAAATGCTAATCCACTCTGCACTTCTGACTAGCCCTGAGTCTGGGAATGCCTCAGAAATGTCTAGTTGGCATGTTTCTCTTTATGTAGAAACACCTATTCAGTGTAAAGTTTTACCTTTCCTCCAAAACAACCCTGATGTTGCTGCATACATTACACACTGTGATGTCCATTGCCAGCTGCACATTCCTTTCAGAACATGTATACTGTTTCCCCAAGGTATTACCATAAGCCCTGAGTCTGAGAGTTTGCAGTGTGAAGACTGTCTTGTGGCCTCCCTAGACCAAGCTTCTGTCCACAAATTTCCCTAATAAATCACCCATTACAAACAAACTGGATTTATTATCCTCACTCTTTGGTTTCTTGGCTCCTTTGGCATTTGCATGTACAACCTTTTCATGGAACGTCTTGACACCTCCCTCCACAACTTTTCAGTATTTCCCCTGGAAGTTTCTGTTGGCTGAGAGCACAGATGCAAAGAATTACCACACTCTCCAAAGTAGAGGTAAAATTTTCATCTTAACCTTGCTGGGCACAACCCTGGGGTCTTGAGCAGACTGACTGTGACCTTGAATATGAATTCTGGGGTCCGTTTGGCCTACCTGGGTTTCATGTTCTTTATAAAATCCTTGGCCTTTTCCAGATGAAGCTTCAGTGTTTGCTGGTGACTTTGCTGCCTCATCTGGCCCAAGAGCTCATTGAGATGAACCTCTGGGACTGGCAGGTGCCCTCACCACAAGAGGAAGCAGAAGCGTGTCACCGTATCTTACAGACAGTAAATGACATGCAGAGACCCTGTAACTGGAAATGAAGCCCTGGCTCTCAGGCCCAGGGTTTTTTTCCCCTATAAAAGGAGCTGCAAATCTGCCTACATGCTTGCTCTCTCAGGGCCAGGACTCTGGGATCTCCTGTCTGGAATGTTCTTTCCTGCACACCTTGCACCCCCAAGACCCAGCTCAGAGGAGACTCCTGAGGGACACTCACCCCACCTGTTCAGTCCCCTGATGCATTTTCCCATGGCACCTGCTCACCACTCTCCTTACCAGTCATACTTAAAACCAGATGCTGAATGTGTCCACATCAACACACCAGACTGTGTCATCTTCTGTAGAGGGGTGGCATGACTGCCAGAGACAGATGGTCCATACCCACCCTATCAGTCTATAGATCTGTCTCTCACACGCATGATTTTCCAGACATGATTTGTTCCCATCACACAGCTGAGACCAGGATGGGAACAAATTTCTGTAACTTCCCGTCAATTCTCATGACCAAGGTAAACCTGTTTCCCATAGGTACAAGTTTTACAGCTTAATCTTTTTTTTTTTTTTTTTGAGACAGAGTCTCACTGTGTTGCCCGGGCTAGAGTGCCGTGGCGTCGTCTTAGCTCACAGCAACCTCAAACTCCTGGGCTCAAGCGATCCTCCTGCCTCAGCCTCCCGAGTAGCTGGGACTACAGGCATGCGCCACCATGCCCGGCTAATTTTTTCTATGTATTTTTAGTTGTCCAATTAATTTCTTTCTAATTTTAGTAGAAACGGGGTCTTGCTCTTGCTCAGGCTGGTTTCGAACTCCTGAGCTCAAACAATCCGCCCGCCTTGGCCTCTCAGAGAGCTAGGATTACAGGCGTGAGCCACCGCGCCCGGCCAGCTTAAGCTTTTATATTTGGGTCTAGGATGTCTTTTGAGTTGATTTTTCTTTCTGACATGAAATACAGATCAAAGTTCTCATCCCTTTATTTTTCTTTTTGCATCTGTGTCCTGGTTGGATACATGGGCCACAGTGCTGAGCTCCCGGGGCTGATGACTGCCTGGGTGTGTTCCAGCCCTCATCCGCCTCGAGGATGCCCCAGTGTGGGGCCTGCACCTGCTTCTCACGCTGTGCTTCTGCCCATGCTGCTGTGTTGTCTACTCAGGCTGCAGCAACAGCACACTCTGGTGCCTCCCAGAGCCATGCAGCCTCCTGAAAGTAGCTGAAGGGGTCAGGGCTTTACCACACCATCCACTTCACCAGGGCCTGTAGGGATTTCTGCAGTGGCAGAGCCGGGAGAAGGGGCCTGGAGGGCTGACCTGCCCAAAGTGAGGAGGATGGCCCCACTCACTGGCCATCAATGGGCTCATTCAGAGGTCAGTGGAGGCCCCACATCTCAAGTACTTATTGTCACTGCCTGGGCACCATCCCTCAAGGTCAGCTTCTGGGCCCCACCTTGGCTCATGCCCCTTCCTTTGGGGGAGTCTTTCTGTTCTACCCCAGGACACACCCTTCATCTGCCTGCCCTGGAAGTTCCATCTCTAGACTTGTCCCATCTCCCACTGATGTTACTGACAGAAAGAAGGTGGAGTTTTGGGAGTATAAAAAATGACCAGCCCTAGAAGCCAGCCTGAGCTCTCAGGTGGGCTATACTGACCTCTGGGTCATCTCTCCTCCTTTGGCACTCACTGACTCACAGCATGTGGGCCGAAAGTCAAAGCTGTTGTTAATCCACACTCCACTTCCCTCCCATTTAAAAAATATATTTGTATGTCG